TCACTGTTCTAGAGGGACTCATCTACAGCATATCCTATATAATAAAAGGCTAATATGCAAATGACCGAATGGTGGAATGACTGGTCACTATGATGCACACTGACCACCCCCTAGGGGGCAGACACTCAATGCAGGAGCTGCCCCCTGGTGGTCAGTGCACTCCCACAGGGGGAGCGCTGCTCAGCCAGAAGCCAGGCTCACGGCTGACTAGCACAGCCCGATGGTGGGAGCCTCTCCCGCCTCCATGGCAATGCTAAGAATATCCAACTGACGGCAGTCAGACATCCCCCCAGGGCTCCCAGACTGCGAGAGGGCACAGGCCATGCTGAGGGCCCCCCCACCCCAAGTGCATGAATTTCGTGCACCAGTCCTCTAGTAATGAGATAAAGTGAGATGGAGTTTCTCTCAGGGCCAGTCATGCTACTCGACACTATATGGTGTATTGGAAAGAGAACTAGAAAACCTGTTTTCTATTTCTGGCTCTGCCAACTACGATGTGACTTAACTTTCTCAGTTTCTTCATCTGTAAAATGGGAAAAATAGTCTTGGCTCTACCTATCTCTCAAGATTGTTTTGAGGATTGAAAGAGATAATGAATATCAATGTGCTTGGAGACTATACAGCTGTCCAAAATTACAGTTTGCTCCTTATAAGCTTATCTTATCCAAGTAACTATAAATAGATTCTCTTTGGAAAAGCCTCACATGATAAATTTGTATATTTTAATTAATTATTGAGTGACTCATAGGTACTGGGCCTTTTGTTCTGGGTTTGTCCTGTCCAATCACTACTAGCCACATATGGCCCTTGAGCACATAAAATGTGGCTTGTGCAACTGAGGAATTGAAATTGTAATTTTAATTAATTTAGATTTAAGTTTAAAAACTGATGTGCAATACAGTTACTGGCAAACTTTTAAACAAGTTGGACATATGAATCTACTCTTTCAATCAAAAGGAAATCTAAATACAGATCATGGATTTCTGATGAAAGACTTAATACAGAAAAATTTTTTAAATTGACATTAATAATTTTTATATTAATTTCATGTTGAAATGATAGTATTTTTGGTCTATTGGGTGAAAGAAAATATACTATTAAAATTAGCCTTGACCGGTGTGGCTCAGTTGGTTGAGCATCATCTGATGCACCAAAAGGTCCTAGTCAGAGCACACACCTGGATTTTGAGCATGATCCCAGGTAGAGCACATGCAGGAGACAGCTGATCTATGTTTCTCTCTTGCCTCAATGTTTTTTCCTATCTCTCCATCTCCCTTCCTTTCTCTCTAAAATCAATAAGAAACATATTAAAAAATTTAATTTCACTGTTTTCTTTTTACTGAATTTTTACATGGCTACTAATAAATTTTTAAAAAATTACATATGTGGCTCACATTATATTTCTATTGGAGCTTTTCTCATGTAAGTATATACATATATACCTCATTCTTTTTTAATAGCTGTATGTTAAATCATGTATGTTCATTTATTCATTAATTCACTCCACAAATATTTTTGAGCACCCACTATGTCTAGGGATTAAGGGTAAAGCAGTCCCTTATCGATGGGCATAATTTAGAGTGTTTCTAATACTTTGCTATTACGTTGATACAATAAGCATATCTTTGTAAGCTTCTCAGTTCATATGTGAGAGTTTTTATTTGGCATTGATTCAAAGAGCTCAATGGCATTTCTAATACTTGAATCTCATGTTCAATTAGGATAGCGTTCACGTGACAGGTAAATTTGTGTTAGGATCAGATATTTATTTAACAAATATGTAAAATAAACCACCCAATAAAATGCCCTATTGGAAGCTGCACAATTGCCCCTACAATTTCCCTTTATATGTGTACATAGTTATGTCCAAATTCTTCTACTCACCCTCAAGGTCCAGCTTAAATGCCCTCTCCTTTCAAGAAGCCTCCATAGACCCTAATTGGATGTGATCTCTCATGTGCCTCTTTACCTCAAATATGGCCCTTATCACAGACTACCTTGAGTCAGAAATAAATCCCCTACTAGACTTTCATTTTCCTGAATGGACAGTGTCTTTAATTCATCCTGCATTCTCACTCAGTGTATAGCACAATGTAATTAAATAGAAGCTCTAAAGCGAAAAAGTGCAACCTACAGTCTCAGGAATGAGAATGGAGCCTGCACAATGACCAGATGGTGTTTGCACACCATCAGTGTGACATATGCTTCCTATGGCTCACAAGGCTCTGCAGAAATTGTCATCTTCTTCAACTCTATACCACTCCCCTTCCTTCAGTGCTCCAGCCACAATGGCCCTTTTTCTGGCTTTGAACACACTACGTCTGCTCTCATCCCCAACTGTCATCCTTCTGCCTGGAGTGCTCTACCTCCTGATTTCTGCTGGCTTCTTTCCCTTCAATATTCAGCTCGATTTTTACCTCTTCAAAGAGGCCTTCCTTGACCATCTATTCTGAATTTGGTCCCCAACTCCAATTACTCTCTATTATGTCACCTTAATTCTCCACATAGAATTTATCTGTCTGAAATTAACATCATTTGCTTGCACTAGAATGTAAGCTCCACCAGGAGAGGGACCTTGTCTGTCTTGTTCAACCTTTTGTACTTTCAATGGCCACAATAGAGTCTGTAGTAGTAAGGATGCTTTTGGCTGAAAGTAAGAAAATATTCACTGAAAAATTGCATAACCAGAAGGGTTTACTTGTATCCCATAGAAAGGAACTTGATGGTAGGCAGTGCTAAGATAGGTTCAACAGTTCAGTGCTATCCAGATTCTGGATTGGCGTCTCTGCAATGATCTTGGCCTTCCCTTGTGGTTGCAAAATGGCCACCAAGGGTAGATGCATCACAAGAAAATATCTCTCTCAAAAAGGAGGAGTAGATGTCTCCTTGCCCATCCCTTTTTGTCAAGGTGGAAGGACTTTCTCAAGAGCACTCCTCCCACACTTCCTTTTTATATTCCATTTGGCTCAAATTGAGTCAGTGTCAAGACTATCCCACTAGTAAACAGAGTGAGATTTATCATGATTTTTTTAACCAGTCATAATTCATCACCTGGACCTGGGCCAACCTTCCTTAAGCCCTGTGGCTCTGTCCTATACCTGAAGCAAGAAAAAATTGTTATGGCTATCGTGGAGGTAATCAACAGTGTGGGCCATGCAGGCATTCAAGGAATGGAGGGTATGAATTCATGCTGATACACCTACATTCAACAATTAACAAATTACACACACACACACACACACACACACACACACACACACAGTGTGCAAAGCAAAGACTGCTGATACAAGGCTTCTGCCCTTCTGCCTTTAGAGTCACAGGGCCTCCAAGACCCTCCATCTATGCTTTATCAAGACTAATATGAAGCCCTAGCTGGTTTGAATCGGTGGATAGAGTGTCGGCCTTTGGACTGAAGGGTTAGGGTTCGATTCTGGTCAAGGGCACATGCCTGGGTTGCTGGCTTGATCCCCGGTGGGGGGCATGCAGGAGGCAGCCAATCAATGATTCTCTCTCATCATTGATGTTTCTCTCTCCCTTTATCTCTGAAATATATATATATATATATATATATATATATATATATATATATAGAGAGAGAGAGAGAGAGAGAGAGAGAGAGAGAGAGAGAGAGAGAGAGAGAGAGAGAGAGAGAGAGAGAGAGAGAGAGAGAGAGAGAGACACTAATATGAAGACTGCTGAAATAGACTTGCTGCTAAGAGACTTGTTCTTTGCTAGGTTCCCAGAAACCATTAACCATGTCCTTTTTTCACAACAAAGTTCCTTATGAAGGTGTGACTGCTTGGTCTTTGAAGTTGGGAAAAATGCCCTCTGGCAGTTGTAAGAATTCTCTTAGAAGGTCTGCATGGTTCCCCAGAAACTATGGGCCAGTTTGAAACTCTCCACAAACGAAGTAACCAGACAGAAACTGCTAGATCAGTGGAGCCTCTCTCTCTTTGCACTTGGGGAGGTTTTACAGGGTCACTAGTACCTCAAGGTTCCCATTCTTATTTTTGCCTTAAGCATGTTTGTCTTACAACTAGTTAGAAAATGTCCTTGGATTCTTGGAAAACAATTTTTGGAAGGTGAAGACGATAAGGAAAGGAATAGGAAATGGAGAGGTGATGGCAGGGCACATGGAAAAGCTTCTAGAAGACTGGTAGTCCTCCAGAGCCCAGGCAATGGCCTTCCCAATGCCATCCTCACCACATCCCTGGTGAGCAGTCACTGCTGAACTAGACAACCTGCCTTAGGCTCAGTCTTCACCACCACCTCTCCGGCCCTGGTGGTGGTGTTGGTGGGGTCTGCCACAGCAAGTTTCCAATTCTCACCGCTCTCTAAGGAGGTGGCCTCCGTGAAGGAGGATCAATTGAGTAAGAAATACGTCGCGGGAGGGGTGAGGATCCAGGCTAGCCACTCGGGCCAGAAAACCACTCTCCCTTCTTCCACAGGGGTGCGACCCCTCCCTGGCGGAGCACACAATAGGCGGCAGCTCCACGTTGTTTTCGAAATCGAGGCCGCCTGCGCCCGGGAGCTTGCCGGGTGGGGAGGACGCAAAGGTCCACAGCCCTTCTCGGGCACTGCAGCCTCTGGGGCGGCAAAGGAACTCTGGGGTAGCGCACGCCCCACAGTAGGAGACATTTTATTAACCCCCTTCTCCACCCTCCCTCCGCCCAATACCACCAGCACACACGCAAAAAAAGCAGCAGCCAGACCTTCCCTCCCGGATGCGGCTGCACCAGCAACAGCGTCTGCGGGCGGAGCCCGAGCGGTTGCCACTTCCCCCCTCTTCCCTCGTGACCTCGCCCCCCGCCAGGTCTTCCCCCCCTCCATCCACACACCCTTTCTCCCAGACACGCCCTCCTCCTTGAGCAGGTCGCGCGCAGGGCTTGATTTCTCTAGGGGAGGGAGTGGCCGCCGCTGCCTTGGGGCTGGACGGCGAGCGAGCGCGGGAGGGAAGGAGGGGACGGGGGAGGAGCCGGGGGAGGGAGGGAGGGGCGGCGGGCGCCGCGCTGCGATGTGGCCGGCCGGCCCGCGGGTAAACAGGGAGCAGCAGCGGCTGCGGCCGGCCCGGCCCGGGGCACTGAGCACACCCGCCGAGACCTGCGCCCGTGGCCATGGCCGAAGTGCGCAAATTCACCAAGCGGCTCAGCAAGCCCGGCACGGCGGCTGAGCTTCGGCAGAGCGTGTCGGAGGCCGTACGCGGCTCCGTGGTGCTGGTGAGTGGCCGGGGCACGGGGCGTCTGGGGGGACGCGCTTCGGGCCGGAGCGACGGCGTGGCTGCCCGCGTGCGGGGGCTGGGACCGAGAAGGCGCTCCGGGCGGCTCCTCCTGCTCCCGCGCTCCCCGTCTCTGGTTCTGTAAGTTTGCGCACCGGCCGCCTCTGGCCAGGGTCGGAGTCCTGGGAGCCCGCTGACAGCTCCGCGGCTGCCGTGCGCGGCGAGGGCGTGCGCCCGGTTGGACTCTGGCGGGCTATCGGGGGCTCGGAACCGGGGTCCGGGCCCGGGGTGTGAGCTGGGGAACGGACCCCTCGCTGTCCTAGCCCCGCCACAAAGAACCGGGAATCAGGCGCTAAGAGATCCCGATTCCCGCCTGCCGTCACCTGAGGCAGTCTAGGCAGAGGGATGCGTTGAATGTTTTGCACTTACACACTAGCGCTCGCGCGCGGACACACACACACACACACACACACACACACACCATGAATACAAAAAAAAAAAAGAGAACCCCACCCAAAACGCCCCGAGCGTCCGAGCTCTGGCGGGCGATGAGAACAGAGGAAGCAGAGCGACTTCCTCCTGCTACTGGGGAGAAAGGGTGGTGATGGGTGTTGAAGGGGTGCTTCTGCCGCTGCAGCCGCGGAGGGTGGGGATTGGGAACAACGGGGTTCCAGAGCTGGTGGGCGTGGGGTCGGCCGCTTCAGGGCGAGGTGTCCCCTGGGGCCCAGGAGATGGGGGGCTGTGAGGGTTTGGGGGAAGATGGGGAACTTCACAGCTTTTCCTTGTAATTTTTCAGTTCAGGTGTGGAGAAGCTGGGGTGAGAGCCCCACTGCTTAGGCCTGGGGGGATGGGGATTTGAAATCGCGCCGACCCCCTGGGAACCTCCCATCACATCCTCAGCCTCATCCGGATTGTCTGACTCGGGAGAAAGATCATGGGTGCTAACGGGCACTTGCTGCTCCTCCAGTTTTCTAGACACTGGTCGCTAATTTCCTGGACTAGGGTGCAAGCCCTAAATAAGCAATCGGACTGGTTAACGAGTGTTTTCGTTACTTTGGCTTTGTTTGTTTGTTTGCTGTTCTATTTCCTCGCCATCCTCTCTACCTTACAGCGTATCATCTGCTGTGTTTAAATTTCATAGAGTGGGCTCTTTTTGTTAAAACAACTTATCATCGAAAGGGAACTTCACAGCTTTTCCTTGTAATTTTTCTGTTGATCTTGTAGAATCAGCGATAAAACCAACATTAAAGGGAGGCCAGGGGCCTGATCCCAACAGTGGAGAAAGTTGACATTAGTGGGAGTTCTGGAGGAGGATCAAAGGTAAAATATGTACCTTTGAGATAATGATCTGATCCCTAATAGCTACAACTGTGCAAAGCCAAGTGACTTTAAAGAAATCTCTCTATCTGGCTGAACCCTTGGAAGTTTAATCCTGCTGTTTAGCAGAGCAAAACCCAGACCTTTAATGTTTTTTTAAATGGACTTGGCTTATTGTATATCTCACTGATTTTAGAATGAGGTCCTGTTGGGTCAGATTAGAACCTAGATTGTCATCAGCCAGTTAAGAGAGGAAGGCAAACTGTGTGTAGGGCATTTATACCAGGGCTTTCTCTTCCGTAATTGTTAACAAGTGATTCAATCAGTCTAGCACAAGAAATGCTTTCCTAAATTCAGGAAGAAAAGAAAACCTTGCTTGAGCAGGGGTGGCCGGCTTAGCACATCACGTGAAGGGAGCCTGTGAAGTGGACACATGGTCTCAAGAGAATAAATAGGACTCAGCAAATCTCCACTGGGATTTGACCAGCATTTGACCTGCCACCCTCAGCAGCAAAAAGTTAACCTTAGCATTCTTGCTCAGGTTTTTAAAAGAATTTTGTGTAGCACAGGTGCAGTTGCCCCTTCTTAACCATTGACTCTGTGGCAAAGCTGGAAAAACTGTTAGTGGGAGGAGAGTCTTCTGGGAGACAGTGCCTGTGTAGCTTATTGGAACAGAGGCCATAGATTTTTACCAGGCAAGGCACAGGAGTGATATTTATTACTACTCTGGTGTGTGACCCACATTGAGATTTGGGCGGCAGGGGAGAACAGATTCTAGGAACCTCAATCAACCAAATCTATCGAACCTCTATCATTGTGCAAGACATAATGCCTGATGCCCTATAATTATAAGTGAATGTGGATGAATTTTTCTCCATTTATTTTTATTAGTTCCAACCAGGGTTGGATCTGTCTGTGTGCATGTGTTTGTCAAAAGAACATCCAGAATATGTATACAAGTCACTTTCTGATTATTCATAGTAACTTAGTGAATGTTGTTTTCAAGCAGTTCAATCAGTTAAGAAATAAGGAAATGGTCTTAAATGAAGTGTACTCTCCTAAATGGCTCTCTTTCTTGGCCCCTGCTTTTTTGACACAAAGAGCTGATAACTAAAGTTAGCAAAGTCACGGTGGCCAGAGAGCCAGTGCACCACGGTACAGCTGTCTCCATAACTTCTGATTCCTTTCTGATATAAGCCCTAAAGTGTTTATTAGGGATGTCTGAAGTTGGACATACACTTGCTGCTGTAAACCCATGGCACTCCTGTTATTAGGACTTCAGTATGGAGTCATTCTCACAGCAGTTGAAGCTTTCCTCTGGTGTATCTCTCACTAGAACTTTGAAAACCCACCAAGCTGAACAAATATACAGTGCTTCCTGTTTAGGTGGTGGGTTTTTTGTTTTGTTTTTTATTTTATTTTTTTACAATCATACCCTTGTAGGTATATTGCTAACATCATTCCGTTTTGCTCACTGTTTGAAAAATTCAGAAGGCATGGACTATATATAGTATGTAGTCGTGTATTCAGACCTTCATTCAGTTAGTAGTACTTTCACGAATCTGTTAGCTGTATAATGAAATACACAGAGAGACACTGTTTCGTTGCTGCATTTTCCTGTAAGTTTAGCATTTTTATGAAGGCCAGTTTTAACCCAGGGAAATGGGTAATTACAGAATTGAACATTGGCAGAGATTTCTCAAGGGAAGCTTGGGAAGAATATTGTAACTTGAGAATGTATGTGATTAACTGAGAAGTGTTTACATATATACATGTTTTCAATGCAGACTTTTTAATGCTGTTTTTGTTATAATTCAGGATATAGCTATTTGTATCTGGGGGAACAAAGGCATTTGATAAACCTGTTGTATTCTTGCTCCTTAAGAGGAGTCATTGTGCCTGGGAAAGTTACCTACTGGGTGTTTAAATACTGTTTGCTTGCTGCTGCTGAATTTACCCTCAATTCTTTGTGTGCCAGAGGATCAGGAAAGAGTTGCTAGATATTACGGTTGTAGCCCCTTGAGGCAAGGGTAATGCGTGCAGTATCTCCTGGCTAGCATCAGCCCGATTTCATATAATAACTCCAGTAGAGAAAAGCTCCCCCAAAGCTGAGAATGGCTGAAAAGATTCTGCAGCTGCTGACTCCCCCCACCAGGCACACACTACCTTTGCATGGAATGTTTGTTAAGTTGGAATTTAGGGAAGGCCTGAAAAGGACTTGGGGAGCTCCTCTGCTCCATCATCCCCGGGGGAATTTGCTGAAAGTACTTAATATAGGACAAAACAACTGACACTGGGGAATAAAGCCAGTTTCATTGGGCTTCTTGGCCACGCGTTTCCAATTCAGAGACTTAGCCTGGATCTGAATGAACTGAGAGTCAGGAAAGTTAACATCACTGTTGGCTCCTAAATATGGCTCCTCACCACGCATGTGGGCTTTTCCAGGTTAGGAGAGCCTGAGGCAAGTCACTCCTGGAGGATCTTTCCAAAAGCCCAGAGCTGAGTTTACTGTGAAACCGGCCTCCTCACTCAACCCTCTTTGAAGCACCAAATGGTAGAATTTGTTTTTTAAGATGAACATGTTAAATTCTCCAGATTGATTCTTTTCCTATTCTAATATTCAGTAAGCCTTCTTTTTGAAACGTTTATTGTTTCATTACATAATGCATGTGTGTTGTAGAAGAGTTAGAAAACTGGAAAAGAATAACCATCAGAATCTCATCACTCAGGGAACTCAATATTCTAACATATGTATACATGTCTGTCTCCTCTGTGTTTAGGAAAAAATGGATTGAATAAGTATATTATATAAACTTTAAAATACTTTTTTTTCACTTACCAATATCTTCTGAATATTTCTTCACACCAATGACTGCCAAACTTCCACTATGGGTGTACAGTAGGTAATCATCCTTTACTGTTTGATATTTTGGTAATTTCTAATTTTGTGGGATTATAAACCTGAGATGTCTAGTACAGTAACTAACTACCAGCCACATTTAAATTTAAATTAATTTAAAAAATAAAAATTCACTCCTAAATTGTACTTGCCACCGTTCAAGTGCTCAGTTGCCACATGCATGTGGCTAGTGGCCACTACATAGGATGGCAGACAGAGAACATTCCCATCATTATAGAAAGTTCCTTTGGACAGCACTGGTATAAACATGAATTGAATGAACAGCTTTGACTAGGCATTGTCAAACTTGTTAGATTGTCCCTTTCAAATAAACTTCTAGCATTGGAATTGCTTGTGCAGACATTAGACAATTTTTTAGTGTTAAAAATTCCTCTAAACACACTCTTAAATTGCTCTGCAGAAAGTTGTTGCTATTTACTCTTTTCACCAACAGAATATATGTGTTCATTTCCCCTCTCCCATGCCAACACTGGTTATCAATATTTTTTAACCTGTGTAATCTGATAGGAGATAAGTGGTACATCACAGTTCTAATTTGCATTTCTTTGAGAACTCTTGAAGTTGAACAGTTTTTTGTATGTTGATTAGCCATTTGTGTTTCTCATTTTGAGGGTTTGAATCTTCTTACAGACTTATTTCCTTGTTTGTCATTCTTGCAAAAAACGGTCTCCACCCCCCAAGATTCTGTTTGGTTTGGGGTGGGACCAGGCATCTGTGTTTTTAAAAACTGGTGAGTCTGATGTGCACAGAAATGGTGTTGTGGC